TTTTTTTAGCTTGTTATAAAATGTAATTAAAGTTTCAGAACGATTGACCTTCATGTTTTGACATTTACATGTCATTTGATTAACAATAATTTCAAAATGCAATTATATTGCAATGTATGGTGTAGATTTTGTGAAATGTATGTCAACATCAGTCATACACTTAATTTTTTATTAACATTGCAACATTTACATTTTTCAGATAAAACATAAGTTGAAGAAGAAAAATAAATTTATGACAATGATAGAAGCAACAGCTTTAAAAAATACATGGTCCCATCAACGCAGAAAAAAGCGGCAAGCTGATAAATTGGGTGACCATAGCTCTTCCTTGAATATTGAAGAGAAAGATGTAAATGCAAACAAATTTGAAGAGAGTTGTATTAATTTTAAAAGAGGTACTGATGACTTCAATCAAGAAGAAATGACTAATAAAAAGATGAAGATAGAACAAAACGACTCTGCTAAAGCAATTAGTCCTTCGGAGAATTTTGTATTGGATTATAATTCATCTGATTCAAAGATTAATAATGAGAAATGTAGCACTGGTGATGTAGATGAATCTCTCAAGCCAAAATCAAACGAAGAGAGTTCAACTATTCCATTATTGGAAACCACAATATTTATAAGAAGTATAGCATCAGAAATTCATGTTGAAATCCTGTGGAGGGGAGGTACTGGTGGACGGGAATCTATGCATCAAGTGTTACAATACATTAAAAATAAATTGAAGTAATATTTTATATTAATATTTTGCAATAAAGGATATTTAAAATAAAAATGTTGCTTTCTTTAATTTCAATTCGAACAAATACTCCAATAATCACTAAACGTACTGAACCAATATCCATGAAACTTTTGCCCCAGCTTTCTTTAAAGGTCAGGAATACAGTAGGCTATGATTTATAACCAGAAACCTTAATTTATTTACAAAATAATTACTTTTGTGGTTGTTATTGTTTTTTTTCTCCCAAAAAGCATTACATCACAGATTCAAGAATATATTAATGTGCAGTTGTGGTTTAGCTGTGCGCCACCAGACGATGACAACTATGATATACAATTGAGTTAATCAATGCACAGAATTGCTTATGTATAGGATAGATGAGTGCTATTTGTTTATTTTACCATTCAATTGTCTAATCCGGAATGTTCATATCTAACTAGGATGACAGTTTTTCTTTGCATTATTTATAAAAGTAACTTGAATACTGATATTAATTGCTACTATCCATTGATGTATTTGTGCAAGAGATACAAAATTTTTGGAAATACATGTGTTTTATATTGTAAAAAGGTATGAATGCATTGATGTGTTTGGTATGAAATAGTTATTGTTTTAGTTGTAGTAAATTAAGCATCATTATGATGTATTTTCAGACTGCTTGAGTGAAAGCAAAACATATTTCATGTAGGTAGGCAGGTATATGTGATTTGAAGCTAAAACTCAGACAGGATGAGTTTTGTAAGGAAGTATTTTATGGAACTGGAAAGTGAAACGCTTACCATTTAGGTGGTGTAGAAATAATTATTTAAATTGGTGAGAATACGTTTGGTAAGAACAAGTAAAATAGAGGTAAAAGAATGGCAAATGGGTACTTGGAGGAATTGAACATGTGCCAACACTGCTTTTCGAGGTTGTTGAAAATGGAACCAGAGAGGTTATTTTAGATAATAGAAAAACTTTTTTCAAGCTGGAATGCTCTGTGAACTTGAAGGGAGACTACTATTTTTGCAAGGACCCTAACCTTAAATTCAATTAAAAGCACTTAACTTATATTTAAAAGTCAATTGCCTCAGTGTGGCTTTAAGGGTGAATTCAAAATCTTTCTTTAGAAATGGGCAAGAAGAGAAAAAAATAAGAAAAAGTAAATTACATTTTACAATGTGGCACTTGATTGAAAGTTAAATCGTTAATACAATGTAATAAAAATTCCACAAAAAGGAATATACACAGTAAATATAAATTCCTTTTTAGTTTTATTTTGTTGTAAAGTGAAAAAGTTTGAAGGTTGGGAAACCCCAATAATAAAAAATATACTGAGAGAGCAAGGCAGAAAGGAGCTGGGATACTGTTGATAGAAATAGGCTCTGCCACAGGGCAGAAATAGATAAAATTCCCCTTCCTGTCTAAACAATTGAGGTAAATACCCAGACAAAGTATCCACACACGCTTGTGCCTGCTTACCGTGATAATATGCAGGTAGATAAAAATTTTTGGTAGTTCTTATTCTAATTTTAAAATTACCTGCATTATCAGTATTATTTTTCCATTTAAATAAATCACAAGAGAATAGAGAATTTCAAATTACATGAATTTGATTTTTGATAATCAGGAGGAATGAAAGCTAGGGATAAGGATCATGTTGTACAATTTTAAGACAATAATACTTTAATAAATGTACATCATACTTTATTGTTTTCTAGTACTGAATGCGCACAACAGCCTCAAACTATGCACTTTCCAATTGCTAGCAATTAAGTCTCCTACCCCAAAACAAATTTTGCTCATCAAACCAGAATAGTAGAAAAACAAGACTCCCTAACAAAATTTATTTGTAATTAGTAATAACTACAATTTTGATTTTTAAGCTTTTCGAAAGTTCAGCAAACACTAGTGTTTACAGCATAGAAGAGAAACAAAACAATGCATATATAACAAAATGTTTTCATTTTTTTCTTTTTGAATAACAATGACTGAAAAATTATACAGGAAGGCACCTAGTTATTACATTTCATACCTCACTGTTTTACATGTTACCTTTAGACAGTATAAAGCATTCAAAACTACGTGTTTTTGTGTTAAACAAGGATTGGTGATAGTATTACAGCCATATGAAACATATTTTTCACATGGTATATGCAAATTACAAGAAAGAAGATGCAGTTATTTTAACATCTTAATTATAAGAACACCAATGTATTCACTAACAACAAAGAAACAAAGTAACACTCATTGTCATGTGTTCAATAAGTGAAAAAATTTTATATCAAGTTGCCGGTCTGTTCTTCAACAATACATTATAAATCTCGAAAATATAACAGAACAATAAGATCCTCACAGATTCAACAAACTGCACCTTCTTTTGCGACTCCCCGTCACAAATATACGGTAAATGACTAGTAAGACAATATTGTGATTTCAACTTCCAACAGAAACAATATAACGAAGTTTTGTAGGCTTCATTATTAACAAATGCAAATAATCTTGACAAGATCTGTATATTGTAACAAGTAACTGCTCAGTATGAACACTTGACTCAAATTGAAGACTGAAATATTATCCACATCAACATCCTAAGCGGAAGCATGAGGTTTTTTTGGCTTCATTGTACAAAGCTCTTCCATGTACTCGGTGCAAATATCACATCAGATTTCCTTTTGTCTTCTGCACACTCCATTGAACACATTTATATTTATTAATTATGTAGATAATTTAAAAGCACCAACTGAAAATGGCGTACAGAACACATGCACAATAAAAATTTTATTCATAGATGCATCTTTAAATTTTAACACTTTTTCACTCATTGCTCTAACATACATATGCTCTATTATCAGCGATTCTCTTTCATGAATCCAAAACTATGAAAAAAATTGTTTATATTTTTAAATAAAACCAAGCTAGTATCAATTTGAGTCAAATCTATGACCACAATGTTGGCTATAAACAACAAAAACCAGAGAATGCTGCTGGAACAGTATTTTTGATGCATGATGTTCTTATTTCATACTAAAATCCTGATGAGAGAAATGTACTGGTTGTAGTGGAATGTTGACTAAATGTACAATATATCCTACTCAACAAAATACACCACAGCATTTACAAAAATACTATACTGTTTATCAAAAACTTCAAATCCAAACAATACGCAAATATTAAAAGAACTATAAAACTAGACTTTCTCATAATCAGAACACCTACAATCTATAAAAAGTTAAATCAGGTATCTACTCAGTACGTTCTAACTACTGTATAAACTTTGTGTAATTCATTTAGGAAGAACAATAGCTACTGTTATGCATACATGCAATAAAAATAAGCTCTTTGGTATGTGAAAACTGCTAAAATTCACACAGCAGTTTTTCCAATACCAATTTCAAACAAGTTACCACAAAGACAACAAAGATAACAACATAATGCAAAAAATTTATCACTGACCAAGCGGTGAAGAACCACCCGAAATATTTATATACATAACCAAGGAAATATTTTACATAGATTATATTTCGAGAAATTATTCTAATTGTAATTAATGTACCAGAAAATTGAAAGACAACCCTTGCAATGGAGCATGGAAGCAAGTGATATAAATTGTTCAGCAGTTTAAACTCACTTCCTAGTGCACGATTTAAAACCTGCAAGTAAATATGCATTTTTCTCTCATTAACCTGAGCATCCATACAAAACGATTGAAATGTCTGTACAATAATCATTCACTTCCTTATTCACATGAACATAACTGAGAAAACAAATTCATAATGTTACACAATGACATTATCAACAACACACAGTTTGAAACAACTGATGAACATTCACAACTTAACAATGAGAGTATCAGTTACTCTTAATACACATTATTCTTGAATAAAGCCATTAATTCACGTGAAATGGCACTGTTCTAATGTAGACAACACACGTTGCCTAAACACATTTATATAAAGGAAATTATATCACTGAGCACTTTGCTAGTGTAATTACAAAACAGTAATATAATAAAAATACTTAAGTTTTAAGAAAGTAAAAAATGAAGTGTAACACTTCTCAATATTATTCATGCATTAGGCCTCACCAAGTTCTACTCAATTCCAATCATACTTAAGTACTTAAATTCATCTTTGGAATTGCAAAATGTGTTAAACATATTCTAATAGGATTACACAGTTGGCAACAAATTCTGTCAAATGAAAGTAAGTCAAGAACTAATGCAATCTTTCCTAGAGTATCACTAGTTGCATAACAAGCAACGTATTGCATTGCCTTTGTATCATGAAGTCCTAATGACAGAAAATGTATTAATAATTTTAACAATGTTCCTGCATTTGTCACTATTTCTGAACCATTTTTTTCAACACTGTTGCATAGTAATCTGTACAATCCTCTTTTCTGCAAATTATCACCATCCACAACAACATTATTTCAACAATTATATTTTTTATCAAACATTTCACAGTCAATAAAATTGTAATGATTCAAGACTTGTGGGCAGGATATACAAGTTGATGGGTGCTACACAGTAGTTTTCAAACTTGAATTGAAAATCTGTACGAAAATAAAACTTAGAGATTTTCAAATTTTCAACGTAAGATACAATAGCTGAATTTGGACAACTCTGAAAATGACTCTTATAGAAAAACATACAATCTGTAGTGATTTTCTTTAACACAGCAGCCAAACTGGGTTTTTCAGTCTTACTGAATATAAAAGTATGTACCTGTGCAAGTTCACTGGGTACTCGTTGACCCTGCGTTTTCACATTTCCAGTTACTGAGTGACCGGTTGGACCCCTACTTTTTATCATGCACTGCAGTTTTCTACACACAATAACACTCACACAAAATTCACCTATCAGCTCAACTTGATTTGACAGATTTCTTGTCTCCTTCAACTTCTAGAGCACCATCAGTCTTATCTTCCACAGGCAATGGAGACGTTTCTTTCAATTGTCGTTTTTCTATTTCAGCCTTGAAGTTTTCAATGTCTTGGGGACTAAAAAGAATACAAAATACAATAATTATCTAATTATAAATACCTGTAATGAATACAAAACTGAAACAAACAAACAACTACCTGATTTGTACAAAAAGAATACCATTAATGACATTAAGCATATCCAAGACACTACCCATAGAAGGGGGTTGAATCTGAATTGGAGGGAGTGAAGCACCAGGTTTGCCTGTATAAATTTCATTCATTTTCTTCTGTAAAACTACAGCTTGAGAAGTCAAATGACGAAGACATTCAGAAGATTCCCTGGTTTTCTCATGTGCTTCTCCAAGCTGTAAAATAAAATTCACAATTAAAAATGAATTTATTTTGTTCGTGACAAACTATACTTATTTTTTAAAGTACATACTTGTTGCTTATAAATAGCATAGGTCTCTTTCTCATTATTAAGAGCTGAACGAAAATCACCCATGCAGCTTTGTGTTCGAGCAACCAGATGGTAACTGACAGCTACTTTCAATGACTTTGGGCCATAATACCGAATATTTAGAGCTAAAGCTTTTTCAAGAAATCTAAGAGACAGTTCATATTCTCCAACAGCATGGAGGATAAGGCTTATATTACTCTGGAAAAAATAAATATTATTATTATTATTATGAACACCAGGTGAACAATTCAAATTTGTTATCACTCAAATCGTTTGCACTATAGCATTCATAATAAAATAACTTACATCCAGAAGAGCTATTTCTGGATGATTTTCACCACAAACCATCAATGCCAAATATCGTGCTCTATATAAAAGTTTTAAAGCTGTACTGACTTGACTGTTAGCAAAGCAATATAGAGCCAAGTGTGTCTGAAACAAAATATATAATTTTATTTATAAAAGAAACTTCTAAACTTAAACAGCAAATGAGAAAAATTAACATCAAATAAAAGAAAACATTAACATACGTATTCTGTGATAGTGTAAGGATGATCTATTCCATTTACTCTTTCTGACATTAATACAGCTTTTTGCTGATAAACCATTGCCTCACTATGTTCACCCATAATATAGTTAAGGCGAGCTAACATTCGCAAACACTGAGCTATCTCAGGATGCATAGCACCATAAACATTATTCAACAAATTTAAGGCCTCACTAATCAGTTCATATCCATCCTTCAGATAACCTTGTTGAATTTTCGTCTGTCCAGTAGTGTAGAAATTGTAGGCATCTGTGGCCTATAACAACATTTCTGAATTAAAACCTTATTTGTTTTTCAATTACAACTGATAAACAATAATTAAATAATTCATTAAAACATGAACATAATCCACATTTCAAACATTTAGTTTGAGAAACAATAGTCATTTGATCTGAAAATAATAACTTTACAAACTACGACACAACAAAACTTACTCTTGGATTGATATGTTTCACTACTGGGAAAATATTAATGATGTCTTCTTCAAAAAAAGTCAGTCGATTCTTATTGTCAAAAGTATATTCTCGAAGTAAGATCTGCACACCTGTTTTTATACAGAATGACCTAAAAACAATAATTAGATAAATACTTTCCATATAACATAAATATTTCTTATATATTATTACAAAAGAGATTTAAGGCAGTACCTCAAAAGTGAAATCTTTTGAAGACCAAAATTTTCCACTGCACTTTCAATCGAATCAGCAGCAAGCTCCCAATCAAAGTAATTTCTAATGTCTGCCTTCAACTGGCTCCAAAGGGATTTTGGTGTGAGATTTGCCCATTCTGTGCTGTCCGAATTGAGTAGGGGATTAACCCGTCCCTTATTTCGCTTATTACGGCGTTTTGATGTTTTACTGAGCAACTTGGAAGAGAATATAAAACCCAATTAGAAATTATTCTATAATTATGCAATATACTTATTTTCAAATTCATGGTTACATTATATTTCACAACACTCACTTCATCTGCCACTTGCTGAGGATGTGGAACCTGACATGCTGACAGAAAGCAATTCAAAAAGTGACTGACTGCAACAGATAAACTCATCAGCTCCGTGGTCTGCAAAGAAAATACACAAGGATGCTGAACAAAATGCCCAATTACCACACCTCAATTTGGTAGTCTCAGTACCAGTCCAACAAATTAAATGTAATACTTAATATAAAATTTATAAGACTATTTCATTCAAAGCTTAAATAATTTGTAGTCCAGAATATCCAATATATATTTAGATTCTAGTGATAGAACTGATCCCATATTAAATTAAAATTCACAAGAACAGCAGAACTAAAGCTAGTATATTATAAGAACTGCAATATTTATTCTGCTGAAAAAGTAAAATCAAGAAGTTAGGAAAGTTTATAGTGAAACATCTTTCATAGAATTGACTGAACACAGGTTGACACAACCTCAATTAGCGTCAACGTGTGTCATATTAATACCAGAGCCACAATAGCATTGCTGTTTCTTCCAACATACCTGCATGTATGAAGTAAATACGTGTTTGGCAGATCTGGTAATCAATTCAGCTATAGCTATACTATGAAGATATTCTAGCTGTTTCACGGTGCTCAACATGTGCACAATTTTCCCCAAATATCTGATATTAATTCCTCTATTGTGCATTGCTTCTGATAGAGCAAAACCATCAAGTGGTGCAGCAGAATGGTCTAAGCAGTCTCGAATCTTAAAAAGAAAGATACTAATAATAAAAGTTGTTCTAGCTAACACAACTGCACGATGAAAAATTTGGCAAAAAATTTGCTTACAAAAGTTGGTATCTGCACAGTCAACAAGAAAGCAGAAGCATCTTTCACCAATTGTCTTTCTTTTCTCAACTGATCACCTGTAGGATCAACATGCTGAACTCCAGGTGAATATACATCTGGATTGAATCTAACATCAAATTCAGTGTCCTTCAAGGATCCCACAGCTAAAGCAGCTTTCTTGACAATTTCTTTTGTACTTTCTTCCACTACAAAATAAGAATAACAAACAACCAGTATTAAACCAGTCAAAACAAAAAAGTAATCACATTAATAGATTACTCACATTCCTGTTTTTCTCCACTAGTAATGGAGTCAGTAATGCTTTCAACTATCTTCTTTGCTTCATCAGCTTCCATCTGATTTTCTGCACCAGTTTCACTGGGAGATGACACTTTGTTCTCATTCTCAATAGAAGATTCCTTTTTAGATATATGATCCCTTTCCTTGTCCTAAACAAAAATTTTTAAGTTCCATTTTAAAATAAAATATTCTAGTATACCTAACACTATTATTTCTATATCCAACAATATCATCTGTTTCCTTCAAATGCAATGATCTCACTTTATTCACCTTAACATCTTTCTCAACAGGTGTTGTTTCTCTTTCTTGGCTACTTCGTAGAGCTTCTCTTTCACGCTGCTTCTTAACGCCCAATTGCTGCAGATGAAATGCTGCATACTTTATGAACATCATGTATTTTGATCTAAAAGAAAAAGGTCAAAGACCACATACAATTTATTCTATAAATATACAAATGTAACATACTTAGCATAAGTAAAATAAATATACTTACTCAACAAAGGAGTCAATTAATTCTTGACGAAGGCAGCAGAGTTTATGTTTATGTTCAATTGGAAATCCTAAGGCTCTTACTTCCTTACTCAGCTCTTCCCCTTCCACTGAAAATAATTTTCATAGAGTCTCTACAGCAACTGCACCTTAGTACACTAGTTTGATTATGAAGTGTTAAACTCACATTTTAGAAAGTTCACATCTGGGGGAAATGTGCGTAAAAGATCCAGTATATAATGTCTGCCATCATTGCCAATAATTCCTTTGCATTCAACTGAAGAGCATAACTCTACTTCTTCTCCTTTATCGTTCATTACTTTATGAGGAAGAATTTTAAGCTGTTGACCAGCTTTGTTGAGCTGTAGTGAAGTAAAAGAAAATACTTAATAAGGATGAAGAACACAGAAGAGCACAAAACATCAAATCCCAAGAGCAAATGCCAGAAGCAAAGGAGTGGCCAATCAGTATCTTCCATTTTCTTTCTACAGGACTAAAATTGTACTTAAAGATTCACACTAGTTTTCAATTAATTTCAAACTCTTCAATAACAAAACTCCAGGAAGTGAACTGTTTCATTATAGTTTTTATTGAATGAAGACTGTGTATCAATGTATGGATTATAAACCAACCTCCCCGAAGTAATGTCTATATTATAGGGAGCATCTTATTACTAGACCTTGGAATTTTAGGCACAAACAAGTAAAAATTAAGACACCAAAAATAGGTAACAAAATTATGAAATTAGGCATGTAAAGCAATATTTTAGGCACTTAAAATAGGTTATAAAACACTTAAACCAGAAATTTAAGGAACATTCGATATGACAAGTCATGTTTCTGACGAAAGGATTAAATATGGTACTTTTCATTTTTCAGGAAAGTCAAGTATTTTTATATTTAAGATAGTGACTGCAAGCACATTATATTTTTTTTTTACTTTCATTTCATTTATTCCTTCACACTTCTCATTTTCAAGCTATCAACAGTGCAACTATGCCGGAAATGAGTGAAATTGCCTAAGAAGTGCATGCTAATCGGAGTCATGCGAGAAACATCGTCTTTAAATGGACTAGCAGAGCTTCATATGTTCAGTGTGTTGGGCAAGGCATTTCTGCGAGTATATGATCAGTGAATATTCACGTTTTAGGAAAGTATTTGCATTCTGATAAAATAATTTTTTTAAAAATTATAATATGATAATGCATGAAAATTACTCCTTTTAGGCATATTTAAGGGAAAAAATATTAAAACGGACATCAACCACATTAGGACACTATTAAACACAATCAATAAATCTATTTTTCAGGATTTGTGTTATATAAGGATTTGTAAATATGAACAAACTAAACAGGTATTTGACAATCCTAGGCCTCCTTATTACAAAGAAGGTTGCTACAGAGAATCTATTCTGTTTCCACAAAGAGAAAAATCCTTATATAACACGAAATTAATAATTCTACAAATGACAAGATTGACAAATCAAATGAAGTAGTGGAAAAACTATATTAAGTCACCAACCACAACTTTAACTCATGGTGCTACAATTGCACATTCTCTCCCTGCATTATTTGTAACTGCTCACTTTATTTCCAGTACATCATACAGGCAAGCATGGATAATTTCACCTATAAATTGAACATCCGAAACTGAAGGCCATCTAATATATCGCATTAAGAATGTTCTAGAAACTACAATGATATTACCTTATGCATATCTGTTCATACAGTCTTCCCAACTTTAATATTGTTAAATATATCATTCTATTGAATGTAGAGAATGTTTAACAATAATATTATTAATAATAATAACAACAATAATAATAATAACAACAATAAACACAAACAAACAAATGGTACGAAATTATGGTACTTAATTTTTTCAATTGTTCTGCATTATTGCATTTAAATCACATTTTTTAAGACAGAAAACGTAATTGGGCTAATTTCAATACAATTTGGAGATTGTTTGAAATCTAATACATCAATACATTGAGAATACAAATTTTAGAATGAAGTTAAAATCGAATTAACACTGGGATTTTCAATAGCAAATTATAGTAAAAATTGAATTAATTATTTTTTGTATCCTTAGGATCTATTCCTGTCCTCCAAGGGTTTTTCTCGTGGCCCGTGGTTGGTGGGACATAAATATACATTTCATTAATTTCAAACAGAAATTTCGAAAAAACTATTAAGATTTCAAACAAAACATTACCTTTTTTATTGAGCGGTTTTTTTTAAACAGATTTTGTTTTCGACAAAAATCTCTAACTTTCATTTTGTTATTTCCAAATGTTACGGTTTTGGAATTTTTGAAAATACCAAGAGTTTAAAGAAAAAGAGATTTGTGCCACTCTATAGGTCTCTTCTATAAATGGAACAAATTTTTTTTATATCTTGCATATATTTTAAGAGTAAATTATGCAAAATCTACTCGTATTGTTTTCAAAAAAATTATACATGGCATTTTTTAAAAACCTGATTATTTATCAGACTTTATCTGAGGCAAAAATCTCTATTATCAATTTTGTAATTTTGAAGTGTTATTTTTTTGCAATTTTAAAGAGAAACCTGAGAGATAGCCAAAAATGGAACTAGCCCCATATTCTTTTAATGTCCCTTATTACATATGAGGAGAAAATATGAAGAACTTTGGAGTGATGTATATTCTTTTAATTGCCTACATTTCATGCAAAATTTCACATAAACTACTTGAATTTTTAAAAAATTGAACATGACCATTCAGGACATCTTTAAGAAACAGATTTCTTTTCTTTTTTTTTAAATCACCATCTTGAATATTTTAGTTTAGTAGTAGAAAGATGCCAAATAAATTTTAAATTTTTGCAAGAATTGTTGCAGTGTCATTTTTTTGAATGTTTTTAATATGTCCCAGGGGTTTCATGTAAAGTACCCTCAAAAATTAAAATACAGGGTTCAAATTCAAGGGGCCAAAACATCAGCCAGATCTATTATGAAACATCAATTTTGGAGAAAATCAACTGAAAGGTTTAGGATTAGGCGCTAGTGTTGACCATAGATGAACTGATGGACATAAAAAAAAAGTAGGCAAGATTTATACACTTTTTTGGTACCTCAGCCCCGCAATAAGGGTTTTGTGTTAAAAATTCGCCATTTTGCCCCTGCTGTATAACAATTCCTTCTTTATACTGTGTAAGGAGTAGTGAGAAAGTAAAAATTAGCATGTTTAAAAATCTTTTTTTTATTTTTTATGAACATTTTTCTTTCCTTTCAAAGCACATTAAAAAAAATAGAATTGTCAGGGAAGAAATCTAAACACATGCCTCCAATATTCAACAAATTTCAGTCACACAACATACTCAAAAATAAGAACTCACCATTTCCAAATATTTAGGATGAGAGATCACAGTTTTTCCAAAATCAATAGAACCGTATACAACAGACTGTTCCTGTTCCCTTTCCAGTATTCCAGGAATGATAGACTGAGCTGTTACTCTATAACCCCGATAGTCAATCACTACAGTTCCAAGTGTATACAATCCTTGAAGATCAACAGCACTATACACACGAACTCCTTGCAAGTCATTGCGCTGCACAGAATTAAAATTGTTATTAAATTCTTTGCATTTAAGCATCGAGACTTAATCATAGTTTTTTATTTCCTACAATAAGAGTGTCTTTCTTATTTTAGTAAAAAAATTCACACAAATCTTTGTAAAGCATACCGGTGCAACAAATGCAGCAGCATCACCACCAAGTTCCTTATAATGATCTCTTACATCAAAGCCCAATGAAAAAAATATGTTGTTCCAAATAAACATCTGCATTTTTGCCTCCTCCCCAGGATTGATAGCCATAACATTTCCATCAATAACTGCCATAGCGCCTCTAGTGGCAGCAGCTACAAAATCACTATGCACCTACAAGGAAAAGTGATGCACTGTTAAAATAATTGGAAATGCAAAAATCTGGAATAATATTACATTGCAAGTTTAGTAACACAATATTAAATAACATGAATGCCAATTAAACTTGTAAAGAAAGGTAACATTGTGAATTATTCTGTTTTTCGATATTAGAATAGATTATAGAGATACTCTTAATACATATTTTAACATTAAAATTCATGAAATAGTATGCAAGTTGAATCATCAATAGCACTGGTAAGGCAAAGATATACAAATATTAAAATTCAGTCAAATTACTTGCGTAGCTATCCACTGAACTGAAAAATACATCACAAAAACTATCAAATCAAATTTTAAAAAATTTAAAAAAATAATTTGATTAAATTATGAACTAATAGAATAATCTGTTAATATTTTACTTTAAATATAGCTCTCTCTCTCAATAAACGCTCAGGCAAGTTCTTTCGTGGCAGTTCCCGGGTGGTTTGTAATTCCTCATTCCAATCACGTGTCTGTCCAGGAATATGCTCTTCATATCCAAGTTTTGAGGAAAATGCTACGGAAAATACATAATTTTAATATTAAGATTAATTTTTAACTCAACAACAATACAACTGTATAAAATTTATATCAACTCTTACTATCTTCAGCTCGAATGGCATCTATGGTATGTTCCAATTGAGGAGTACTCCATGCGTACACTTGATAGGGTGTGGCAACTCTTTCAAATGGATGCCTCTGTGTACGTTTCTTTTGCAAAACTGAAAAGTTTCGTTTGAATGCAGGACTAATTTGATTAAGTAATTCTATTAAAGAGTGGCACAAGTGGCTAGGAGTTGATGGTTTGGGATTGAAATCTTCTTCAGAAGATCTGAAATATTTGAACATATTTTTAACAAATTTCGAACATTAGCGTGACAAAACAATTCAAATTGATAGACAAGTGATTCATTTTATCTGGTGTGTAATACATTTATTCTATTTTTATAACACCTAATTAATGTAAAACCTAATTTATCCTGCAAAAATTCAAGGCACTATATATATATTAAAAAAAAAAAAAAAAGCTTACTGATTAACAAAAAATCCTCGGGAACATGCTGTAATGTGATAATGTTTCTCTTCTAATGTCACAACATACAAGTACATGAGATCCCCATGCATTTTCCTATATCCTGGAGGAGGATTCCAACCAGAGGTAGTTAAAACTTTCAGGCATTGTGGGCCTTTCTGTTCTTTTGCTTGTGGTTGTAAGGGAAGCAAAGGTCTGTCTCTGCTGTTTGGCATAATATAATCAGGAGGAGTGCAGTCAACAGATTCTGGTCTCATTTTTTTCTTTTCTGAAAAGAGACATGTTTTAACAATGGAAGGATAATCACATTTCATATATTAATAAAAAAACAGAATAACTGAAATCTGAAAAGAACAGAAATAATTAAATCGTAATTAACTTCCTTTTCAATATAATTTTTACATGTCCAAGGACAAATATTAGTTTTTTGAAAAAAGTTATTTTTGAACTTTTAAAAAGTTAAAACAATATACTTACAAAAAAAAAAATCTGTATTTTTCCTCTATACAAGTTATTTAAAACACTATTAGAAGATAATCTAAAATGTTATTCAAAAAGAAAATGCTTTAATCCACTTACATTATACGAAGTCAAACTTTATAAAACCATTGACATTATTAGTTATTATATCATGTGTTCTAATACAGACAAACAACAATATTACAAACAAACAAAAAAATTTAGTATATAATTATAACAAAGAGGCCAAAACATTTGTGTTGTAATAATATGCCTTATGAGACTTATTTTCTGAATAACTATTATTTTCAATTAATATATATTATGAAAGAAAACTTAAGTGGAAGAACTATTGCATATTCTTTATTTTTTGTAATTTTTAAAATTAAATTTCAAAAAAAGAGATATTTGATGCAATAAAAATCCTACTCCAATTGAATACAGTTTTTTTCAAGCCCTTCATATAAAGAGCTTACCTAGTATATCTCCTTGAGTTACAACATTCAAGAAGGATAAAGAACTGCAGTCTACCCCATTATAAGCATCAGCAGGATCCAAAGACTTTAAAAGATCTCGTACATGCCTCACATGGATCCTAGCCTCACGCATTGTATATGGTTCTTCAACAACCTATAATTTAAAAGAATAAAAAAAGTTTACATTACCCAAGACAAAACTTACCAATTTGTCATAGTATTACACAAACATCACCTTGTTTTACACACCTTAATGACAGAACCTTCTTTCAATCCTTCAATGTTTTTCAGTTCTGCAAAGTTATCAAGGGTATTGCCATCCAACTGCAAAGAAAAGCAAGTACGATGACAAGTGTCTTCTCTATCCATAAGAAGCTGGTGGATTTCCTGAACAAGTTCCATGCTGGATACTTGGATATCGAAGGGCTCTGCTCCAGGGCTTACTATTTTCACCATGAAACCCATGTCCTGTATAAATACCACTTCTTGCTCTTCTTTCTTATCATCCTTTTCTTTCTCTTTTGTTGCTTCCACCTCTCCCTTTTCCACAACATTTTCTTCAGGCTCACCTGTGCCATTGCTCATCTCATTCTTACTGTTACTCGATTTTTCACTCGTTTCCGAGTTGCTCACTCCATTCACACTTCCACTAGGAATTTCATCGCCCACATGACCATTTACAACTACTTTACTTTCATTCTTGGTGAGTAAAGCAGTTTCATCTTCAGTTTTATCTACCACTTTCATCTTGCCCGATTTCTGAGATCTGTTGCCACCTGCAAAAAAGAATCCTTACATGAATTCATTGTTTTATTCATTCTGATAGGTACTTAGAGGAAATAAATATTATTATTTTTGAAATTCACTTTGAGATGTAGAGATATTCTACCTAATATACTTCTTTAAAATGGAGACAAATATCTGTCATCATACAATCTTATGAATGTAACAGTGAATCTATTAGCTAAACAATAAAATTGGACATCATTCAACAGAACATTTCACTCCAATATCAATTTATATATTATCTGTGATAGTAGTATATTGGTTTGGCACCACCAATAACATTTCAGATAGGTTATCTTACAAAACTGACATCCAGAAATTTGAAGAGCACATTTTCATCATTGACATATGATGAAGGAGATATTAGAGCAACATTGCTTATAAAAATACTAATAAAATTATTTAAATTTCTTCACATACCTAGTGGCAATAGCCATTTCACACACTCATAAATGTGAATAAAATTGTAAATGATTATGTAAGTTTCAAAATAAAATTCTTATTATATTAACTCATATAATACTATATTAACTATTGCTACATTAGCATTCAGAAAAAGTAAAGTCACTTTACTAATATACAGAGAAAACAGTTGCACAATTACAATTTTAAGAAATCATCCCTCTTACATCAATTGTACTTCCTAATTTTTTCTCCATTTATGTTTTTTTCAATCCTTGAGAGGTTTTGTAACTTTTTCCAAAAGCCACCATTTCTATCTTTACAGTTATGTTTACACATTTGTTTAGCTTTCTTTTAGCACTTGGGGTTCTCATTTCCTTTGGAGAAAAGTAAGTCAGTTGGTAATGTAAATTTGTGGAGAAAGTTCATGGATAATATATTTTATTGTGAATTTATTTTGCATAAACAAGGTTTACCACTTCCATTTTTTATGCATTGAAATTATGAAAATATTTATATTTCAATAAAATAACGTTTTAAAAATATTTGCAGCATTTTCTCAATTCTTAGAGAAAAAGGGAAAGCTCTACACTGTTTCATGAAGACATATATGGTTTAACTTAGGAAATGCACAAGAATGGATTAAGTCTATAACAAAACAGAACAGACAGTTCACAGAGAGTATCATTCACTGTGCTCACATATGCAAGTACACATAACAATGCAATGTGGATACTTTGTAGATAAAATAATTATATCTTACGTCAAACAATCTTGAATAATACTTTAATTATTGTTAAAGTTTAAAATATCTATGTATCTATTTTTTAAATTTTCCATCAAGGATGAGCGTCTCACAGTTAGTGGATCCTTGCTTGACAGGCAATGTTGAAAAAAACTAGTAAATAATTCCAGTCCAGTAGTGCATTCACTTTCATTAAGCCCAAAATCAAACTTTCAACATTATTACATTCTGAGCTCAATCTATATTATGTCATGTAAAATTACAACATCATGATCGTATGACTTTCCTCTGTACATTAATGTTTTGTCTTCTGTATATGAAGGGGAAGAGGGAAGGAATAGTATCTTGCTTTTTCCAGGAGGGACATGGAATTGCATGCGTGTATGTGTGTGTGTAAACAGAATGTACAGCAGAATTGGCATTGAGGGTGGAGATGAACCAAATGGAATGACAATTCATTTTCAATCTAAATTTAATTTAAAAAAATACCTTTTTGGGTGTCAAACTTTTCATTTAAAAAGAAATTAAGTATAGACTATTTGTTTTCACTATATGCCTTCCGCAAGCTTATTCAATAATTAGAGCAATAAATATATCATTTATCTCTACAAAAAATGGTAATGTAGAATCTTTGAATGCGTTTAAAACACACATATACACGCACGCGCGCGCGATCGCGCGCGATCGCACGCACTCACACACACAAACCACACACCATGTGGAAGTAATTTCTCAACTTTTTACAGCCTTACAAAAGCAACTGGGCGCGAGAGCATTCTGCATTTCGAATCGCGCGGTTCGTGGGCTCACGCCGGCGCCACCGGCGCCGTCGGTGGTGCAGCCTTCGATCACCGCGAAAGGTCAGAGGGGCTCGACCCCCTTCCCCTCTGGGCGCCCTGTGCCACCCATCTGGGCTGGCGCCGCGCCGCGGTGCAACGGGCGCTGGTGGCGGCGGGTAGTGGCCGCTGGCTGCACGCCTTCTAGCAACGCCGGAGCTCTACGGCAGTCGCCGGCGGTGGCGCGCGCGCGAGGGCGACGATTCACTCTTCCGGAAACTGCGTCGAACCTCAGTCCCCGTGCGCTCCCCCCTCCCAGATAGGCATCGTCGAGCGTTCTTTTTACAAATTCAATACACGGGAAGCCGCCTCGGAGCCCTCGGTCGACCGACAGGTCGCTCCGCACGAGCGTCCCGAGAAGCAGCAATTACTACTCTTGGCGCTCCGTGTAGGCCGCCCCGGCTTCAGAGTGGCAAAGTCCATCAAATCATACTTCTCTGTCAATATCGTCGCAAGTAGATCAAGCAATGACTCAGTCTGTCGTAGGAATTAATCTGTGACTGAGAGAATATAAGGACCAGTATCCATAATACTAGATATCCGAACGAGAAAAGAGCTCTGTCGGTACTGTTTTACCAGAAGACAATGTAGGCAGAAATAAACCGAAAGCCTCTACAGCGCTGAAGGAGGGTCCACGTAGTACGTTAAGCCGAAGGCTGCGTGTCTCACGTAACGCAACGGCGTTTTCATGTGATCGGGCGAGCACAAGTTCTATCTAGTAAAACATTTTATTTCCGGAATTAAGATCAATTCCTTATTCATTTTTAAGCTGATTTCAAGAATTGATACACGACATTTGGGGAAAAGGTCCTACATGCCATTTGGGAACTCTGAAAATGGTTGAATATAAAATCAATTGTATTTATTCATTAATCGTTTAACATATCGATGAACTTATAATTTCATTCTCCTTGTATTTTTTTTATTTCCTAGTAAAGTATGTCACATGCAAATACAACAGTTTTATGGAAATAGGAAGTCCAGAAATGTAGTAGTAAACCACCACACACACTCTAAGAAGGGCGTAGGATTTACTATTCATACGTCTTCCGGAAATACGATCAGGAACGAGGAATGGCACTCAACAAAACGAACCCCAAAGGATTCGTTTTGCAGAAGAAATCTATAGCTTCCATATTGCCGGTGTAGAGCAGGATCGAAAAAAATGGAATTTTCTAATTTTCGATATATTAATGATTTAAATGAAAATCGGACAAACGTCTTAATACAATCCAAACTTTTCCATATTTAAGCCAAAAATACTGAATACTTTCGAGAAAATCTTGTGTGAATAGTTTTTATCACGATTTAACTAAAAATTATATTTTCTCTTAAAATTGTATATGATGTTATTTAAGGATCCAATTTTTGAGAACGTGTTTTGTTAAGAACAAGTTTGCATTAAAAATCTAGTTGCTGGAGGGGGCTAAAAAATTAAAGTTTTGGTATTTAAAAAATAGATTCTTTACTATTTTACTAAAATTAGGTTCATGTTATAAGCGCCATTTTCATTAGCCAACCATGCTCTACGAGAAAAGGAAAAAGCTATTTATGATAAATCTCGGATAAGAATGAAGGGCTTCATGCAAAGAGCCCTCACAAATTAAAAGATCTGTTCCAAATTCGCAGAACCTCGAGGTCGGTACTGGCTGAAGTGGCTCTATTATACAACCGTTGCTTTTTCGTGCAGCATTATGTTATTTTCTTAACTTTACCGTAATCTAGTCATTTGGTAGTTATCTATAAGGAATTGTGGCGTAGCATTGATTTTTTGGTTCCTTGTTTTTTCGGGGCGGGATGTTTTTTCGGGGTGTTAAATATAAATCTTAAAATTGCCAACATTTTCCCCATTTTTTGTTCCGTTTTTGTTTTGTCCGTATCTCAAATCTATTATTTTTTTTTGTAAAATATTACTCTTTACCAAAATAATCAACTTATAATTTTCTGTACTTTAGTTGTAACAGTTTTGCAACACGTGTCTATTAGGCGCAATTGGTAATAGAAGTTGGGCAAATGTTTTTGTCCGTAACTAACTGCCTCCGGGGGATAGAATACGACGGGGCTTCAGAAGAAAGACTGTGTAGCGTAAACACTAACGCTCGCATACACAAATAATAATGAATAATAAATAATAATATAATAAATAATAATAATAATAATAATAATAATGAAATAATAAAAATAATAATAATAATGTCGCCGTGGCCCGAGACCGGTGCGGCAGCCGCTCGTCGTGTTGCCGAGGAGGCACCTGCAGCCCCGCCTTCGAGTCGGCTGCGGTAGACATGTCGACTGATTGTCCCTTCACCTATCATCATCATCCTTTCATCTCATAATTCACACTTCAAGGCGTAACAACCTCGTTGTAATCCAAGGATACAGCTGAAAAGCGGATCCTAGAAGAATTACACACGTTAATCGTGTAGTGTGGTCAGTAATGACCTACCTATGGAGTACGAATGTATTTATTTACAATTGGTAAACTACTAAATGTATTGACATTTTGTACATTTTAATTAAACAGTTCATTAAACGACGCATAGAAATATTTATCGTCATCACCACCACCATCGATGATGATGATGATGATGATGATGATGATGATGATGATGATAATAATAATAATAATAATAATAATAATAATAATAATATTTATCACAGATTTTGAGCTTGTCCAATTTCATCTAAGTCCAAGTACATGAAAAGGCAATATGAGATCTGTATACATCCACTAGCAGATTAATAAAGCCTTAATGTTTCAATCACGTGTTCCAAAGTGGTACAAGAACCAAAAGTTGTAACATTTGTTGTTCTGTGTCCAATAGTGTGAGACCAACAAATCCAAACTGATCATTTGAGAGCGGGAAGCAGTAAATTATTTTTCCGGATTTCGATAAAAAATAGTTACTACTTGTAAATCTATTGCCATATGATCAGAACCTACGAAGAACAATCAGATCGTGAGAAGAAAACCACAATTCTTCTGAATCCTCTAAAAAAAACCAGTAAACCTATGAATTTGCTCTTTCCATTTCCATCTGAATGATTATTTCGTGTTTCGGGGCCATTAACTACTATGGATCCGTAAGTGTAGTGCATGCTTATGTGGCAGGAGGGGACGGTATTCTGTCCCCGCTGGATGGTGGGATTCGGAACGAGCCTACACGGCGGGTTTTCCTCATCCAGGCATGTTCTAACTGGCACCACTCCAGCAGGGACAAGTTCTACGCTTTCGCCTGGTTTCCCGATACGTCTGGTAGTAAGTGTGTAGAAAAGGGGTGAGGGTAGGACAAGGAAGAGAAAGGAAACATTGCGCGCGGTCCGTGGCCCGCTTGTTTCGATATCCGCGTGGTACTGATCGAAGAAGACACAGAAAACTACCAATCAAGAGCAGTCGACCGTTATAATTCTCGTCCAGCGACCTAGCTACGTCGCTAGTGTCTAAAAACCTGCCACGGCCGGGACTCGAACCCTAGGACCTCCCGATCAGAGGCCGGCATTTCAATTTGCACTTATTTATTTCCTCCCTTGTACGGAGGGAGTACAGATTTTCTTTAGATATTCATTGTGGTACTGTGCGTCAACTGGAGGCAATTCGTGGACTGGAAGAATCCGAATAATGGTCCCAATCATCACCTCTTTTCTCAGCCTGCTTCAATAGTGTCTCTCAAATTATTCGACTCGATCTGTTACGACGACGGATTGGAAGCCGTTTTTGATGTTTTGAAAAATCGGTTCGTGATTTCCCATCTACATAGAAAGCAATTCTTTTTAAAACTGAATGAAGGTTTTGGTTGAATTATTTGCCAGCAGGAAAATATCATGCCCTCATTCTTATCCCGACATTTGTCATATACCTTCATTAGAATGTTGACAGTCAAAAACCCCTTTCCATCCTTTAATTGCTTACTTGCTCTCCAAAACGATCCCACCCCTGTACCTCTACAATTCCGTCACTTCTACTTTCTAATTTACAGTGACAAATTAAACACAGCGAAAGCACATTTACTCTCTGAATAAATGCATACTTCTAAAGTCGCGTAAATACACTTAATTTTATAGCTCCCGTTAACCTTGTGTTATTTCCGCAAAATAATTCGATATATTCAACTCAAATTGGCGTGTACTCGTGGCGCGTGTATCCATTATACTCGTACCGATAAACAAAGATATTACAAAAAAAGAATTATTAATTATCCCGATATACAATTTCTAAATTATGATAACCATTTAAGTACAGCATGATTTTTCCAAAAAAATCGTATAGTTTTAGAGTTATTAACAAAAATCAAAAATAATTTTTAAAATGTTTTTTTTGTTATATTTCAAATTCCAACGAACTTAATTTTCAGCTCCATAATTAGTACTCCAAATCGAAATTTGCAAAAAAATCTTCACTACACAATTTAATTTGCAACAACCTCCCACACGTAATAGATGCTCAGCAACTGAGGCTAGAGCCGTTTTCGCAAAATAAATTGCTTTTTCGCCTGCTTTCTCACACTTTTCACATGCCTTTTTATGCTTGATATTTGCAAGTCCATTAAGACAAATTATTACACGGTTATTCTGAACATAAACAAGATTAGCCTTTGCAATACGTAATCGATCTGAAGGAAAGTTGAACGAATATTTGCCAAACTTACACCACCAGTAGCGCCTAAACATTGCACTTAACGAAAAAAAGCTGTAAGTAAATTATACGAAATTTTGTCGATTAATTGTATAAGTAGTAAATTTTTACCGAAATTTGACGTAGATTTATGGATAAAGGCAAAAAAGAAAAAAAATGTTCTTTTTCCATGTTTTTTTTGTTGTAATTCAAATTCCAACGATTTTTGGTAAGCTTTAAATTTGTAATCAGCATTCCAAAAAGCAAAAGAGCAAAAAACCAAAATTATATCAGAATTTATTTTAGAACAGACCCTTTAAGCACGTAATGACTGGCCTAACATACGAGAAAGTGAAAAGCAGATAAACTGTAGTATCTGGGTCATACTAAAGAAAATTAACTAGCCAACTAATATAATTCTTTTAACATTCCAATCTTCAACCCATCTAACAACCACAATTTTCTTATTGCGGCTATGTACCAAGTCGAACATTAACAAATTAAACTGAACTTAATATGAAATGTTAAAAAATAATTCTTTCGAAATAATTTATTAAAATATGCTTTTTTAGCTTGATAAAAATGTTTCAAAATTATTACACTTGCAATTACACAATCCAACAGTTTCGAAAATTAATTTTCACAGAACATTCAATTGTAAAAGTAAAGAAGTTTTATCGACTTTCTTTTGTTCACTGAAGATACTGACAAAGATCAAAATGGAAAGAAAAATAGGCAGTATTGAAAAGCATTTGGAACATTTTAGCAAGATTGCATCTGCTGAATGTGGCCCACAAAAATACTTATCTCACGCCCCCTTCTGGAGACTGAGATAACCGCTTAGGCGCTTCTACTCCGACTCGACTTCCGAACGGTACAAACTAGTTAACGTTTTTTCCTGCTCCGCCAGAAATAACCGAACGAAAGGATAAAGGTTGCCCACACCAACACAGACGCGCTGGGGAAGTCCTGGCACAGAACACAAGAAGTCGCAGGAGGCGAGAGCATCGAGCACTTAGAGCATGACAGGGATCTCGAACTTTCCACACTCGAGACATGGGCGACCAACACCGATTTGCTCTCTTTCATATGCGTACCGCACTCTAGACGAAAATTCTATTAGTCGAAACGCGTCCAAAAGAGTTTTCCTTGATAACATGCAATATACTACTTTTAATGGAATAAGAGATCGATTTTGTAAAATAGAAATATGTGCAACGTAGCAGCTATCAGACTTCTAGAAACTACTATATGAAAGACCAAGATGCTCTACGGGAAAGATTGGACTGAATATCGAAATTGCACGTGAGTTCTGAACTATACATCGTAAAGAATTTGAACGCAGATATAACGATTATTTTTATTATCCCTACATATATGAATATGTTGGGCCATAATAACATGGCATACCATTCTTACCACATTCTCGTGATTTGTTCAAAAAGGAACGGAAGCAAAAATATAGAGGTCCTTTCGGTACTTCGAATTATGTGAGATTTTATACTAATAAAAAAAATTAAATTCATCCATTATCTCTAACGCAGGAAGTACTTTGTACGATAAAGGAGGGTAATATTTAGTTGCTGTTACGACATACACACGAGCCTTTAACACTTCCCTCAGTATGCATATTTCCCCTAAATCGAATTCTTCTCTTCGCCTCCATCCCAGAAAACTTCATAGCGTTCAGGCACCTCGCGAAAGAAAGCATCAGCGGCGTCAGCTAATTACACCCAGATTATCAAGCGCGAGATTCTGTGCGGCGAAGCGGTCGGGAGGCTGGAGGGGGGGGGTTCCCCTCCTCGCGCACGTGCGCGGCAGCAAGAAGCGAGCGGCTGCCGCCACCGGGACGGGCAGATCGATCGGCGCGCCGGTGGCCAGCGCCATCTGCTCGCCCCCGCGCCGCACACACGCCGCCGCCCGCGCGCGGGGGCGGACGCCCCGGGCCACATGGGCCCGCGGGCGAGGCCCGACCGCGCGAGGAAACGATGAGCTCCTCATACAGAGCCTAGCGAACTAGCGAGGTTAGCGGCGCGCCACGCAAGACACAGGCCGCGCAAGTTATTGTGTGGTGAATTACGTCAGAGAGCCGTCGAAACACCCATGTGCCGTTCGTCCTTCTAAACCCCAACGGGCCTCCGCGAAATTGGAAATGAAACCCGTGCCGTTCATGTGACTGCTGCAACGGAGTCATAATATTGCATCACGTTCGAGTGCTCTGATGAGATAATCAGAATGCGGAACTTCTGCGGAATGCACTACGCTCTGTAGGCGATGCTCTGGAATCGAGCGTCTAGAATCAGTAGGTTCTTTACTTTTGATACAAAATATATACTAGAAATCTCATGTAAATCTTATATGTTTGTTTCACGAAAAGTTCCCATTAATCTCCAAGGATAAATGTACGAGCAGGCATTAGCAATCTCTCGGTTCAAACGCAGGATCGACGAATTGCGTCAAGTTCGACCTGTTATTCTTTGAAACCCACACCAAAAAATGACTAATGTCGCTCAAGCTTTCATTCACACTTTCTGAGACGATCCACATTAACCTGCTTATGAGGAGTTCCTTTTGCCCCAAAACTAATTCAAGGTGTGTAAATAGTGTTACTCATAAGTACTTCGCCATTGCCGCGCAAAAGATCCATAGGTGCGCAAAAATCCATATATAACGTTTTCGAATATCCCACTCTACAATCGGCAGTAGCGATGGACATTTTATGCCATCTTCTACGTCTCACACAGTACACACAGATAAAACGTCGTCCGTGTCGCACGGAAGTGTTATTCATACCTCGTCCGAGTTTTTTTCTCTAACACCTCGAACCTCGTGGGCACCGGTTCAGAACCGATATCGATCGTCCGAGAGCGCTGGGGAAGACGAGCGCGGCGAAGGGCGGGGGCGGCGCAGGAGCAGGAGCAGCAGCGACGATCGCCGACGCCTGGAACTCTGCGCCGCAGGAGCAGGCTCAGCACTCGGCGCGCGGGGAGGGCTCGGCGCTGGAGCGCCCTCAGCAGGGGATCGCCGGGCGGATACCGCGAGGGAGGCAAAACGCGAGCTCACATAACGCCGCCCGCTCCGTGCACAAAGTGCGCGGGGCGCGGTGGTGGCGTGGGTGGGTGCTAGACGCTTACTGCCGAGCCAAGCGGCGGGCGGCCAGGCGGTGACGGCGGAGGCTGGTGCCGTAACGGCGACACCGAGAGCAGGAGGCGCTTCTGCCCGCGCCTGCACCTCGCGCCGAGGGGCCAGAAATAACGCGCGCGCTCGCGTTTTAAAATTGGATTACAAAAGAAGCGCCAAGAGCCGCCGGGCGCGAACGCTGCCGCTGCCGTCCATGTCCTCGCGTTCCGCGTCGGGTACGAGGCGAACAGACTCGCTTGCAACTGCAACAGGAGCAGCTGCTGCTACAGCACATGTCCACATACTTCGCGAACAATAGTGGGACGGACCTACTCGCTTGGGACCGTTGCAACGGCAATTTGTTGGTGCCGCCCTCGTCGTCGTGGACAGGCTAAAGACTATGGAGAAGTTCATTGTCTTCTAATTGTTTGATTTTCGAAGGTATGGAGATGTGTAAAAAAACAAGTCTCACAATTTCGCGAGACTGTCCCATTGTCACATTACAATTCCTATTTAAATAAAGTTCGCATCAATCACCAATATGAAACACCCAGCCTTCAACACTACTTCACTGTAAATCAACGTCGTTCCTGATGCAATCAAAACCAGCCAGCCATTCTGGCCGTTTAATAACCCTAAAACTGAAAGACGAACGAACCGCCAACGTTGTTGTCACGCTCATCACCGCTGCCTTCCTCAATGAACGGCCGTGCAGAGGGAGGGGTTGACGAGCACGCCGCCGTCCCCACGGCGCCAACGAAAGCGAGGGGGAGGGGGAGGGAAGTCGCCCGAATCCAGCAGCCGAAAGCGCGTGCTTCGCGCCCGGCCACCGCTGCGATTTATCGCCCTTCCCTCCCTTCACCTCTCCGCGCGCGCACTGGGCCCGGTGCCCGCGCGCCCCGCCCCGCAGAGGTCGAGATCACGGGCCGCGCCGAGCTGCCAATGGCCGGTTTTTAGTAGGCGTTTTTAGTAGGCGCTTCTACAGAACACCTGACCTCCTCTCTGCTCAGATCGTGCGTAAGAATACGTAACGCAAGTTTGAGCATAAAATAGACCAGTAGAACACGGTAGCAGAAACCATAATAATAAGACGAAAATCAACTAATATATTCAAACATCGATTAAAATTGATCATTTTCTATTGGATCATATCTAATCTTGACCTAAGACCTACTTCAGTTTCATAAATATGAAATTAAAATGTTGTAAAATAACGTGCACATATTTCGGTAAAGGGAAATCGAGAAAGATATTGGACTTTTCTTAAGTTAGCAAATTTAATCTGAATTTTTCTAATGACACTGTTTACTGTCCCTGAGATTTTAACCTTGATTCAATTTTCCGCCATCTAGCATAAGGATCTTTCTGAATAAAACAATTAGTATAAGTTTAAGTATTAATAAAGTATTATCAATAATTATTCCATAAATAAAACAAAATGCCAAAAGTGTGAGAAAGGAATTCACGTTGTGCAAACAAATTCAAAATATACTAGAAATGGTGAAGTAAACCTGATGATATTAAGAATCATTATAGTTTTAGAGAAGGGAAAGTTTCAAAAATAAATGGAAGTGTAGAAAGAAATAACGCAAAGTAATACAAATCAAAATATTCATATCATAAATTAATCATACCATAATGTGTCATAAACCACTATACACTTTTAACTTTGATAAGCAATTAATTTGCTACGAAACTTACTCACTCAAAATTATTATGGTACATACATTACCTATTAGACGTTTGTTGTAACATACAACATGTAGGTTATTACGCGAATATACCGTTCTGCCCACACAATGTCCAATTAAACGAAATGTAAAATTTACGTTAGAAAATTCTTATTAGTCGTAAACAAATGTGTAACCTAAAAACAAAACGGGGAAAGCGCATGTCGACTATTATATATTATTCCATTAAATAATATTGCCTAATT